TAAACTCCGTGGTCACAAACAAAAACAACCGATATGAAAGTAGGAGGGAGACTTGTTAGGGTTAGGGTTAGAGAGAGTGGGAGTGGGATGAAAGAGGGTAGTAGGGGATGACCAGATGATTATGGAAGTGGGGTGGAAGATGACGAGATCACTGGATTCTGGATAGTCTGAAGGTATGCTGAAGGCATTTTAAAATGCAGGAGAATGGTATTATTATTTTATTTTTATTTTATGTGTAGGAGTGTTTTGCCTGCATGTATGAAAGTGCACCACATGCATGCAATGCTTCAGAGGCCAGAAGAAGGCCATCTGATTTTCCTGGAACTGGAGTTATGGAGGGTTGTTAGCCACCATGTGGGTGCTGGGTCCTAAACCTGGGTCCTCTGCAAAAGCACCCAGTGCTCTTAAATTCTGAGCCATCTCTCCAGCTCCTAGACTGGAATTATAATATGAAACAGAGACAACTCAAACAGGTATACTCCTTGATTCCACCTTAATAGGGAGGCAATCTTGAATCATGTATTTCTGTGGAACACAGCATAGCCCTGCTCCACCTAATAGCAGAGATGCCCATATAGGGAATGTATTTTGCGACAGCCTGACTGGAAGTCATCACATTACCTAGCCAACAGCCCCATATAATAGCAGAGCCTAGCCAGTGGTCTCACAAAACAGTGAAGTCCAGGCAACAGCTCTTATTAACATCAAAACAAAAGCAGCTGCTCAGTCAACTAGAGAAACTACAAGAAGTTCTGCAGTCTGGGGCTGTCAACAGCTGGCCCTTCCAGAACCACAGACTAGGCTAATAGTGAAGATCTTTCCTGCCCAAAGAACACCTGTAAAAGCCAGAAGAGAGTACTATCTCCTCAAAAGCACATAGAAAAATTCAAGGACATAAGAACTATGAAGAATCAGGGAAGCATGTGACACCTGGAAAAGAAACGAAAACCACAACAGACCCTAAAGAAATGGAGCTCTCTGAAATGACGAAATTCTCTTAAGAAGTTTCAGTAAATTACAAGAATGTAGAAAGTCATTAAGAAAGCAATAGGACACTAGGAAAACAATACATATAAAGTAAAAACTTTGATGAAGAAATAAAAGCAGGGCTGGAGAAATGCCTGGGCAGTTAAGAGCACTGGCTGCTCTTGCAGAAGACCTGGGTTCGGTTCCCAGCTTCCACATGGTGGCTAATAATTTTCCACAATTCCAGTTCCAGGGGATCTGATGTCCTCTTCTGGTTTCTGTGGGCATTGTGTGACATGGGTGCACTTACATGCAGGCAAAACACTCATACACATAAAAAATACAAATAAATAAAATTAGTTAAAAAGAAAATGAACAAATCCCATGGAAATTTTAGCACAAAAAGAGATCTAGTTTTACACAGAGACTGAAGAAAAGAAAGGCAAAAGGACAGAAATTTTTTTAATTAAAAAATTTTTTAATTTATTGCTTTTATGTGTATGCGTACATTGCCCGCGTGTAGGTAAGTGTGCCATGTCATGCAGTGCCCACAGAGGACAGAAGAGGCTGTTGGATCCCCTGGAACTGGAGTTATGGACAGTTGTTAGCCGCCATGTGGGTGTTGGGATTTGAACCCGGGTCTTCTGCAAGAACAACCAGTGTTCTTAACTGCTGAGCAATCTCTCCATCCCCCAAAAGGACAAAAATCTTAAAAAAATAATGGTTGAGAGGCCAGAGAGATGGCTCAGCAGTTAAGAGGATTGACTGTTCTTGCAGAGCTGGGTTTAGTTCCCATCAAACACATGGCAGGTAACAACTGTCTGTAACTTCTGTTCCAGGGGATCCAATGCCCTCTTCTGGCCTCTGTGGGCACTGCCAACATTGGTGTAGTTACATACATGGAGGCAAAATAACCATACACACAAAACTAAATAAAACAAAAATGGCTGAACTCTTAATGTGGGAGCTGGTGACAACGCCCAAGTATGGGATGTGCACATATCTCCACTCAAATTCTATACAAAGAACTCACCAAGACACAAAATAATTAAACTACCAGAAACCAAGAACAAAAAAGAAAATGTGACAGAAGATGAGAAACACATCACATAGAATGGAGGGAAAATTTATCTTCAGAAGGTTACTTAGAAGAAACCCAGCAGGCCAGGAAAAGAATGGAATGACATATTCAAGTAGTGAAGTAGAAAGAGAGAGAAAAAGAGAGAGAGAGCTATCACAGTATGATGAATACAGTTAATAAAGTCTATTATAATTTTCAAAAGGTCTAAGAATAAATTTCAAATTTTCTCATCATGAGAATGACAAACATTTGACAGAGTAGATGTTACTTAGTTTTATTTGCTTATTCCACACTATGCTAAGAAATTAATTTGTGTCCTATAAATATATTAAATGATGAACTGGAGCCAGTGTGATGTTTCAGTGGGTAAAAGCGCATGCTGCTAAGCCTGACAACTTAAGTTCGATCCCTGGAACTCATGGCAGAAAACCAAGTTCCAAAAGTGGTCCTCTGACCTCTACACGTGCACTGTAGCACATGCACATCATACACATCTACACATAATAACAATCACAAGTAAAATTTATAAACTGCCAATTTACAATAAAAAAGAATAAAAAAATTAAAAATTTTAGTTCAATGGTTAAAGTTTCAAAGAACAAGAGACTGATGTCTGGCAGTCATTTGTAATTGCTGAGTCATTGTATCTCTTGTAGCTTATGGTCTCTGTTTAGATACTGATGACTGGTGGAAATCCTGACCAGATCATTCCGACCATGAGAGTATATAATTTTGGTCACACCTGTTAAGGAACATATAAAGCTGTGAAACCTACCCAAGTCATTAAAAAAGATAAATTAACTCAATAGTAAAACTAGACAGAGAGAGCTCAGGGAACTAAGCCAATCTCATGAACAAGCCTAGGTATACATATTAAAATAAATATTAGCAACATAAGATCTAGCTATATACTTAGGGACTAACACATCTCAATCAAATAAGGCTTACCTTACAAATGTAGGAACAGTTCAACATGAGAAAATCTATTTTGCTATATGAAGAATTTGAATAAAATGGAGTAACTTCAATAAAGGCCCAAAATACAAGTCTATATTAAGACTCTATATTATAAACTCAACAGCTACAGAACTATATTCCATAGCTAAATATTAGATATACTGCCATTAAAGTCTGAAAAATGTTTTCAAATTCTGCTAGAGGTCCAACTCAATGTAGCTTTTTTCTTAAGATAAAAGTAGAAAAGAACAGGGCGTGACAGTCATGCTTTTAATCTCAGCACTCAAGGGGCAGAGGCAAGCTGATCTCTTTGAGTTCCAGGCCAGCTGGGGCTACAGGGAGATCTTGTCTCAAAAAGCACCCTCCCCCGAAAAGAGTTAACATTATATGTAGTGGGCACATTTCTGTATAGTTATCATCAATACTTTATGGTATACAATAATCTAGAAACCAATACTTTGAGATATATATTATCATATACATGAAATATCATAGAATAAAATATTCCTATTCATAATGGCAGTGAAATTTTAAAGTATTAAGGAAATTGCTTAACAAGAAAGGAAACTTTATATATAGGGGACATAAAATGAAGAAGAGATTTAGCATGTTCAAAAATAGATTCAGGGGGCTGGAAAGATGGCTCAGCAGGTAAGAATATTTGTTGCTCTTGTAGAGGACCTAGGTTTGGTTCCTAGCACCCAACATAGTAGCTCACAACTGCCTGTAACCCTGTTCTAGGGCATTTGACAACTGTCCTGACACTAAACATGCATGTGGTGCACATATATACATGCAAATAGTTCATACATGGAAAATAAAAATAAATAACTCTTTAAAAGATTCAGTAGTGTTAATAAGTAAACTGCATCAAATTTCTTTTGTATTTGTGTGTGTGTTCCTGTGTGTGCACATGCATTTGCGTGAGGGGTGTGCATGCACATGTGTCAGAGGATTACCTCAAATGTTGTTTCTTAGGTACGCACCACAATTTTTTTTTTTTCAAACAGAGTCTCTCATTGGCCTAGAACTCTCCAAATAGGTGAAGCTGACTGGCCAGCAAACCTCAGGGATCTCCATTTCCAACTTCCCAATGCTGGGATTACAAGCACATTCCACTAGGTCTGTTTTATTTTCACATGGGTTCTGGGGATGGAACTAAGGTCCTCATGATTACATACTTTACCCAGTCCTTCATAAGATTTCTTAGAAAACAATAATACATTCTATATAAAATGTGATAACTATTCCTTTAAGTATGCCAAGCTTAAGTTGAGCATGGTGGTAAACCCTTTAGTCCCAGCACTTGGGAGGCAGAGGTAGACGGATCTCTGTGAGTTCAAGGCCAGCCTGGTCTACATAGTTCCAGGTCAGCTGGAGCTACAGGGAGACCCTGTCTCAAAAAAACAAAAAAAAAAAAAAAAAGTATGCCAAGCTTATAAGGAGGTAAAGCTGATCTAGAGGTACCATAGTGAATTAAGAACCAGTAGCTAGGGAGGCAAACATGTTCTGAAGTCAGAGCCATTGCCAGGGAATGTGCTGATTTTAACTGCCTAAAAGTCTGGATCTTAACTTGCCGGAAAAAAAATTTAAGAAACAAAGTCTTGGATGAGAAATAAACTTCCATATGAAGTAGGACTATTCAACACCCAAAGTACAGAAAAAAGTGGGAAAATTCATCTGCCCATAAAGGAAAAGCTCAGTCTTGATGAAGAGTCAAAGGAAAAAAAGCTACATTTAAGCCATCACTATGCCACTACACAAGAGCCTGCCTGCATGAGCAAAATAGCAAAACCAATCTGTTCTCTATAAGCTGAAACTGTTAAATGACATAACATAAATGCTTGAGATATGTGGAAATGTAAAATAAAAATCATAAGAAAAGCTGTAGTTTAAAAAGACCTGGAAAGAATATCAAACTTTTAGAAATACAACATAATCAATTCTATTATTTCAAAAAGCCTTAAAAGCAGCTATAAAAATACAAACTACTTACAGAAGGAACAACAATGAAACAGATAACAGACTTCTGAAGAGCAACAGTGAAAGCCAGAAGACAATGAGATGGTATCTTCAGAGTGCTGAAAGAGAATTGTCAACACAGAATGTTATACTATGGTAATCATCAGGCAAGAATGACAGTGTTGGGGTTGGGGATTTAGCTTAGTGGTAGAGTGCTTGTCTAGCAAGCACAAGGCCCTGGGTTTGGTCCTCAGCTCTGAAAAAAAAAAAAAATGACAGTGAAACAGGTTCCTCTGTAACCGCAGAAATAAAACCTCAGAGCATTACTAATAATAAGCCATGAAAAAATTATCCCAGAGGGCGGGTATGATGGGAAAAGATTAAGGTGTAAATAAAAGGCTAATGAAAATCATCTAAAGCAAACATTATAAAATTAAAAGCAAAGCCCAATTTGGAAGTTTAAAACAGAGCTAAACTACCAGACAATAGTAACATCAGATGAGAAAAATCAACTGAAGCCAAAGCACTCCTTTGTTAACTGCTTTTGTTAAGTTACACAAATAATAATGACAACGAAGGAAGCACTCAACAGGCAGAAATACCCACACATTTAAATTCATCGCTAATGGCAGAAATGCATTTCTTTTTCTTAATTGACAAAGCGACCAGATGGAGAGGCAGAGGCAGGCAGATCTGTGTGAGTTCAAGGCCAGCTGTCTACATAGTGAGTTCCAGGCCACTAGTGCCACACAGTGAGATCCTGCCTCAAAAAACAAAGAAACAAGTAAACAAAACAAAACCCAAAGTGGCAAAAATGGTAATATCTAGTATTGATAAAAGTGTAGAAAAGAGCAGTTTAACACTGTTGGTACATTCCTAATTAGAATTCTGTCATAATAAATATATAATTGATACAGAAATGTTAATTTGTCAAACGGCTTTGTGGCTCACACCTGTAATCCCAGGACTCAGGAGACAGAGACAGGTGGATTTCTGGGAAGTTCTAGGCAAGATCGGTCTATATAGCAAGTACCAGGCCAGCCAGGTCTACATAGTAAGACCTTGTCTCAAAAAAAAAAAAAAAAAAAAAAACAAATTTTTATCTGCATGTACACACAGGTGTAGGTGATTGGTGACCTGGGCCAGGTTGTGGTGTCCAGCTGTGGAATTGTGGGATTTGAATAGCATGTTATCCGTCAATTTCTCACCTGTCTACAGAATCTGGACTCATTGCCACAGTGGCCAGCAATTTACCTCATGGTACCCACTATCCTTTATATCTTTCTTTCACAACTTCTTGGTCTTGAAGTCCTAGAGGTAGGGGGAAGGCATATGGTTTATTGCAAGGTTTCTACAAAGTAGTATGTAATAAAATATTTAATGCAGATTGAACAAATGTTTCAATATTCGTTAAGGTATTTAATATCCATTAATACAGTTCATTCAAAAAGCTTTAAACATTGTTTACAATTAATAAAAACTACAAAATCTCACTATGAAAATTTAAATATAACCTTTAAAAGTATATAGTATATGAGGGCTCCATATAGTATATGGGAGATGGCTTAGTTGGCATAAAGTATTTGCCATGAAAACATGAGGCCCTGAGTTTGGTCTCCAGCACTCACATAAAAAAGCAGGTGTGCAAGTGTGAGCCTATAATCCCAGCTCTGGGGATGGGGAGACAGGAGGATACCTGAGGCTTGCTGACCAGCCAGTCTACAAATCAGTGAACTCCAGGTTCAGTAAGAGCCTGTATATCAAAACTAAGGTGGAATTTGAAATCAGGGATGATAATGCCCCCAGCATTTCTTTTACTGTTCAGGCTTGTTTTGGCTATCCTGTTTTTTCTGTGTTTCCATAAAAAGTTTGAGATTGTTTTTTAAAATTTCTGTGAAAAATTGTGTTGGAATTTTAATGGGGATTGTGTCGAATCTGTAGATTGCTTTTGGCAAGATGGTCAATTTCATGATATTATTCCTACTGATCCATGAGCATGGGAGGTCTTTCTATCTGCTATCTTCAATTTTTTCTTCCATTATTTATTTTTTTAAAAATAATTTATTGAGAATTTCATACATGCATATAAGGTGTTTCGATCAAACCCATGCCCACTCCCTCCCCTCCAACTCCTCCCATATCTCCCCATCACTTTTTTTCTGATAACTTCATGTACTCTTTCTTCTTCTTTTATTTATTTTTTATGGGGCTTTTGGCTACTCTAACATTCCCCCCTCTGAAGAGGTAACCCTAAAATCTTTTAAGGATTAGATACAAGCTCCCAAATACTTTCGACATTCTTGTCCTTTGGAACAGAGTATGTTGCTAAAAGGCCCAAGGACACTTTGACTTTTAGCCAAGAAAATAGCTACGTTTCTTTGCGGTCTTTCTACCCTAACTGCCTAGCCAATTCCTACCTCCTATTCTTATCACACCATCCTCTGAAGGGGTTGCCCAGATTGCCAACAGGGAATCGGGATGCAGACTTCTCTGGCTTCTCCCATGCTGAACAGGGACGAAGGGTGAGGCAATTGGAGTACCCCTTCAGTGGGTCTATCTAAAAGACTCCCAAATTGCATAACTCTTGTCTCTAAGGGGAAAAGAAA